AAAACAAGCAAACTAATATAATAATAATAATAATAATAATAATAATAATAAAAGAGTTGAGGGGCTGGAGAGATGGCTCAGCGGTTAAGAACACTGGCTGCTCTTGTAGAGGACCTAGGTTCGTGGCTAACAACCATCCATAACTCCAGTTTCAGGGAATCCAATGCCCTCTTCTGATCTCTGAGGACACTGCATAACACAGGTGCACTTATACACATGCAGGCAATATACTCGAGTATACACATAAAATAAAAATAATAAAATATTTTTAAAAAGTGTTGAGAGCCCAGAACTGATGAAGGAAAGAGAGGAGGGCTGGGGTAGAGGTTCCCCTTCACCTCTTCATGTTCTTCTTCATCATATTCCTCTTCTTCTTCCTCTTCCTTTTCTTCATCTTTCTCTTCATCTTCCTCGGAAGTCACTTCTTCTTCCTTCTTCTCTAGTGTCTCATGTGAGGATGGATAGGAAGAGAAACTCACACTTAATAGAGGGGAGAACTGAGATACAGGCAGGCCAAGGGACGGGGAAGGAACCTGGAGCCCAGGAGTTCACGACCATCAGCCTTCCTCCTCACCTCTAGTTTCTGTATTGTTTCCTCTTTATCTTCTGTGGTCTTAGGGGGCCTCTTGGGAAGTAGAATAGTGGTCCCTGTTGAAAGGATCAAAAAGCCAACCATTAGAAAGCACATCTCCTTACTATTTTTGTGTATGTGCATGCCATTCATGTGAAGGTGCCCGTGCAGATTAGAAGAGGGTGTTGGATCCCCTGAAGCTGGAGTCATAGGCAGTTGTGAGCTGTATCTGATGTGGGTGCTGAGGACCTAACTGAGGTCCTCTGGAAGAACAGTACAAGCTTATAATTTATAACGGTACTGTCATCTCTCCAGCCCTATTTTCTTTTTTTATTTAAAAAAAAATTATCAGGCTGGAGAGATGGCTTGGCGGTTAAGAACACTGGTTGTTCTTGCAGAAGACCTGGGTTTGAATCCCAGCACTCACATGGCAGCTAACTGTCTATAACTCCAGTCCCAGGGGATCCGACAGCCTTATCTGACCTCTGATGGCATTGCACAACATGGGGGTGCACTTACAAGCAGGCAATACATGCATACACATAAAAATAATAAAATAAAAAAAATCACATTTTATTCATTTATTTCATGTGTATGCATGTGCATGTGTATGTACGCATGCCATGGCACACATGTAGAGGTGAGAGCTGATTCTTTCCTTCTACCATGTGGGTCCCAGGGATTGGTAGCGGTGCCTTTACCTGCAGAGCCATTCTCTGACCTATACTAGCCTTCTATATCACCCTCCTGCAGCACGCCACTCTGCTGCCATCCCGTGGCCACTAAAGCATTCAACTGATTTAAAAACAAAAAAAAACCAAAAAACCTTATTTCCCAGAAACACTTACGCTCCTTCTGTAACTTCCGCACCCGAATCTTCAGCTCTCGGGGTAGACGCCGCCAATCTGGGAACAGTGAAAGTGGGGTGTCAACAGACCCTGTCTGGGTTTTCCATGAATGATTGCTGGTACTCAAGGGGAGGTGGGGTTTAAAGGGACAGGAAGGAAGGGATTGGTTTGAAGTTTCTCAGAACAAAATGGTAGCCTGAATGCCTCTGGAGGTGCTTTAAAAATAGGGGTTTTCCAGTTGAATCTGAGAATGTTTTGGAGCATATTTGATATTCTATTTTGTGGATGCTGCATAGGAGAGGAAGGGTGGGACACTGGAGGAGGAGGTGGTGGTGGTTTGAGCCATCTCAAGCATTTGAAAGAAGAACATTCAATGGAGAGGTCAATTACTTACCAGGGTTCCAATCGATGGCATTGTCAATAGGCCCTGACATCTGATATTTGTCCGAGTAACGTTCCACATCTGAGGAGTCAGAAGACAAGAGTTAAGAGTTTTATCCCTAGAACAAGGTTGTTCCTAAGGATCTACTCTTAATTCTAAGGAATTATCAGTCCTCTCACTCTAGAGCCCATGGAGCCAGTTTTGGTGAAGACCTCATCCATCTTCTAATGTGCCCTTTAGTTACCCTTAGCCCAAAGCCCTTGCTCTTCTGAGAAGTGGCTCTGCATTGGAAGTTATACAAGGGAAGGAGAAACCAGGGTTTCCGCCTTCTCTTTCCTTCTTACTAGTGGGTTAACTTGGTAAGTCTTTCATGTCTCTAAACTCAGCTTCCAGGTCTTGAGTAGGAATGCACCAGCTGTCAATACACTGAACACTGCACTTCCTCACAGCTGGTAAGTATCCACCACCCAAGCCTCCCAGTAGAGCTGCCTTCTCTAGTCTCTCCTGTTTTCCCTGAGCTTCCCATGACTCACTAACCAAGGGGTTAATACTTTGAGTAGGTAGGGTGCTCAGAGACCCAGTGTCATGGTCCTTCTAATTGGTTGGAGCCTGTTAAATTTTGTTTAAAATTTCAAGATACCTCCCCCTTTATACATGTGAAATAAGAAACCAGTATTTAACTTCCCATCATCCCAGGATTATTGTACAACTCAAATGACAAATACTGTGATGTATTTCAGACAGAGAAGTAATTTTTAATGCTCTCCCCAGTTAGGCAGTGTACTTCCTGTGCCTTTCCAGCCCCTAAGAATGCTAAACAGGGGCGCTGCCTATAGGAGGCATGCCAACCACAATGCTAGCCTTTTAACTGACCTCTCTTGGGGACAGCTGGCCGGATGAAGTAGGGGAGCTGCCTCATGGCCCCACGTAGCTCTTGCTTCAGTGCCAGAACATATTCCCCCTCCTCTCCTGAGGGTAGTGGCACTGGGCGGAACTCCAAAGGCTAAGGAGGCAGAAAGTCAGCTAAGGATGAAAAGGCTACAGCATATACCTTAGAGGGCCTTTCCCACAAGTTGAACCCAATGTTCCCAGTAAACATAGGACCAAGAAAGAACGGGAGAGCAATACATCATTTTGAAAGCTGGGGAGCTGGGAGTATGGGAAGGTAATCACTTCTTTGTCTGGAAAACATCCCCTGTGGGTCGGGAGTGTAGAGACAGAGAGGGGCAATATGAGGATGGTTTCATGGCAGCCCAGGAGGTTTTCAGGGTCACATGTAGCCAGTGAGAGGTGAAAGGGAATATTGGGAAAGCAGGGGAGACACTCACAGGGAAGAGCGGTGAAGGCTGTAGGGTGGGTGGGGGTAAAGCATCACCCTTCCCAATGCCCACAGCCTCCATGTTGAAGGTCAACTGGCCCCGGCCACGACCCCGGCCCCCACCCCGGCTGGCCATGGTGGAGGGGGCCTGGATACTCTGTGATAAAAACCTGATAAAGACAAAAAAACAAAGAGATAAAGAAGTACAGTAGAGCAGACAGGGACTGAGGAGATACATGACACCCAATCTTCTTTGTATGACACTTGACTTTTTTTTCCCCTCAGCTCTGGGGTTCAAACCCAGGCCTTGCTCATGCTAGGTAAGTACTCCACTCCTGAGCTATAGCCCAAGCTCTTTCTCCATGATACTTGAAAAACCAGTGCTATTCAACAAACTTTGAGTGACAGGAAATAAATAAATAGGTAAGTAAATAAATCAGTTGGGGCCTGCAAGATGGCTCATCAAGTAAAGGAGCCTGCCACCAAGCCTGAAGACATCAGTTCAATTCCTGGAACCCATGTGGTGGAAGGAGAGAACTGACTCCCACAAATTGTCCTTTGATCTCCAACAAGCATGCTGTTATATGTGCACCTTCACATATACACCCCCCACCCCTGCCTTGCACATAATCTAAGTGTTAAAAGATTTTTAAAAACTTGGGCATGGGACTGAGAGATGGCTCAGTGGTTAAGAGCACTTGCTGTTCTTCCAAAAGATCTGAGTTTAATTCCCAGAACCCACACTGGGCAGCTCATAGCTGCCTATAAATCCAGCTCGATCTGATGCTTCTTCTGGCCTCTGTGAGTAGCCACACACATGTGGCATATACCCATACAGAGACACACACACAAACATTTTAAAAAATGAACTTGGGCATGATACCACAGTTTCACACACTTGTAATCTCATCAACACAGCATTGGAGGTGGAGGTGGGGGTGGGGAAGGCCCCCCTCCCTGGGAAACTGAGGCAGGAAATTGCAAGTGTGAGGCCAGCTTGGTCTATATAGAGAGTTTCAGGTCATTTGGGGCTACATAGCAAGACCATATTTCAAAAATAAAATAAAATAAAATGCCAGGCACGGCGGTGCATGCTTTTAATCCCAGTACTTGAGAGATACAGGGATATGGATCTCTGTGAGACTGAGGCTAGCCTGGTCTACATATTGAGTTCCAGTCCAGCCAGTGCTACATTGTGAGACCCTACCTCAAAAAACAAAATAAAATAAAGTGATATTAGATTATAACACCAAATTATAAATATTCACGAGTCCATAGTGATATAAATGACTGGGAAAGAACAGTCATTTATTGTGCAGAACTCCCAATAAAATATGTAGCTAGTGCACACTAAGGAGAGGAGCAGAACTCTTGACTCCTACAGTGTGGATGTATATAGGAAAATTTGTCCAGTATGGTTTGAAAGTTGGAGGGTGTGGAGTAACTTTCTAGTGGACAGACTAAACAAACACTGTTTCACCCAGGTGACTAAGATCAACAGCAAAAGCAGTAAATCCTGTTGACAATATGTGCTCTTAATATGATATGAGGAAACTTTTTTTCTCTTTTTTTTAATTTTTATTTTTTAGACAGGATCTCATGTAGCCCAGGCTGGTCTCAAACTTATGTAGCAGAAGTTGACCTTGAACTTTTGGTCCTTCTGCTTCTATGTTTGGAGTGCTGACATTACAAGGCGTGTGCCTGCCTCCCTCTCTCCCTTCCTCCTTTCCTCCCTTCCCTCCATTCTTCCTTGACAAGGTCTCACACTGTAGCCCAGGCTGCCCTTGAACTCTCAGCCCTGCTGTCTTGGCTAGGATGGCAGGTATATGCTACCCAGATTTGATATTGTACTTTTACTTTTGTAATCATCATTCCCAAAGCTCATAACCCTGTTTAGTCATTGATAAACATCAGCTTCCGATAGAGAGCTATCTCACAATATACCTACAATACTTCTGGCTAGCTCTCTTCAAGATTATCAGAAAGTGAGAAACTTCCATAGCCTTGAGGGACCCCAAGGAGATAATGTGGTATCCTGGATGAGAGCCTGATACGTGAAAAGAGCATTATATAAAAACTAAAGAAACCTGAATGAAACAAGGACCTCAACAAATAATAATGTATCAATATTGATTCATTAATTGTACACAACATTAATAATAGGGGAACCATGTGTCAGAGGTATATGGGGTAGCCAGGATTACTGGCTCAGTTTTTCTGTAAACCTGTTTGTTTTATATTATTATGCAGTAATGGTGGTTGAACCCAGGACCTTGTGCATGCTAAGAAAGCACTGTGTCACTGAGCAACACCCCCAGCCCTTTAAAAATGTTTAATTTTGATACAGTCTTGATAAGTTGCCCAGGCTGACCTTGAATTCACTCTGTAGACTTGAACTTTTGATTGTCTTGCCTTTGCCTTCCAAGGAGCTAAGATTACAGGCCTGTGTCGCCAAATATGGCATGTATATTAAATTGTTCTAAAAATAAAATCTAATAATTTTTAAAAGATTTATTATCATCATTATTATTATTACTATTATTGTATATGTGTGTGTGTGTGCATGTGTGTGTGTGTTTGTATGCATATGTGCAAGTGCCCACAGAAACAAGACATCAGATCCTCTGGAGCTGGAGGTTCAGGCGATTATAGGCTGCCTGACATGAGTGCCAGGAACTGAACTCCAGTCCTCTGAAAGAACAGTACCCACTCTTAACCACTAAGCCATCTCTCCAGCTCCCAAAACTAATTTTTTTAAGTGGGCTGGGCCTGATGGTGCAGGTCAGTATTCCAGCTGCTGGGGAGCCCGAAGCATGAAAATTGCAAATTCAAGGCATGCCTGGGCTACAGAGTTGAGTTCAAGGCCAGCCTGGTCAATTAAGCAAGACCTTGTCTCAAATAAAAGTAAAAAAGGAGTCAGGCATGGTAGCACATGCCTTTAATCCCAGCGCTTGGGAGGCAGAGGTAGGTGGAGCTCTGTGAGTTCAAGGCCAAAACAAAAAAACCAAATAAGATAAAAGAAAACAAAAATAAATAAATAAATAAATTTTTTTTTTTTGGTCTTTTTGAGACAGGGTCTCCCTGTAGCCCCAGCTGTTCTGGAACTCACTATGTAGACCAGGCTGGCCTTGAACTCACAGAGATCCGCCTGCCTCTGCCTCCCAAGTGCTGGGGATACATCTCAAGCACTTCCCTAGCAGATGAGGGGTCCTGGGGTTGATCTTCAGCAAAGGAAAAAGAAAAGGAAAAGCAAAATTCACAAAGGATTGGTTGATGACCAAAGATTTAAAATAAAATATAGAAGGTAATCTGTAATATGTCTAACACACACATATATATGAACAAAAAAGTGCTTCTTGAAAGATATACACCAAAAATTAAGGCTGCTGGGCCTGTGTGATGGCTCAGCAGGTAAATGCAATTGCTGCCCAGTTTGAGGACCTGAGTTCAATCCTTGGGATTCACATGATGAAAAGAGAAAAGTTTGATAATTTGATACACAAGCACACGTGCATGTACACACACACACGAATGAATGAATGAATTGCAGTAAAAATTAATGCTGTTTAATTTCGAGTGATGGGCTTTTGCTTCTCCTCTTCCTCCTCCTCCTCCTCCTCCTTTTTTTTTGTTTGTATATTACTTTTTCCTATAATGGAAAATATGTCTTTTGTAGTAAGATAAAATTAGTAGGTAGGCATTGTGACTCAAGCCTGCAATTCCAGCACTTGGAAGGCTAAGGAAGGAGGGCATGTGTACGGGTGTGTACATGTGTTTGTGTATGTGCGTACATGCGTGCGTGCGTGCATGTGTGTGTGTGTGTGTATAAGCTTTTCTGAGACAGGATTTCACGTAGCTGAGGCTGGCCTAGAACTTGGTGTGTAGCCAAAGATGACCTTGAACTACTGACCAGCTAATAAACAAAATTATCAATTTTAAATTTTAACTAGGGAGCTAAGGAGAGAGCTCAATGGGTAAAAGCACATGCCATATGAGCCTGATGACCTGAGTTCAAACCCTGGAACTGATGGGAGGTAGAGACCAGTGAACAGTGGAAGTCTTTGGTTAGAGACCCTTGCCTCAACAAGATAGAAGGGGAGAACAGTTGTTCTCTGACCTCTATACACACACTGTGGCATGCACACACCTGTACTCGCACACACAAAAATTAACTAAAAATAAAAAGGTTGGGGCTGGAGGGATAGCTCAGCAGCTAAGAACACTGACTGTTCTTACAGAGGATCTGGGTTCAATTCCCAACACTCACATGCCCTCTTATGACTTCCATGGGCATTGCACAATATGGTGCACTTACACACATGCAGGCAGTACACTCATACACATAAAATAAAAATAATTTTAAAAACTTTAAAAAGCTAAAAATTTAATTAAAATTAAATGCATTTACATAGTAGTAAACGCAAGATCAATCATTTGTAGCAGGAAGACAATGAGAAAATGAGTGAGAAACTGGAAGTGTCTCAAAGCCCAAATATCATGAAAAAGGCTTAAGAAAAGAAATGGCTGCTGGTTACAAGATTAAATTGTAATCTGCTTGAAAAGAACTTGGGAGAGGATGTTTCACGGAGACTCAGGAAAGGGTAAGAACTTATTCTATCTTTGGTCCCATTTCTAGGGAAAGGATCAAGCAGCTGGTTAGGTCTCCTTCCATTTGACAGATGCAGCTTGAGCACAGAGAGGAGAATTACTGATGGCGAAGCAATGGAGAGTCAAGAAAAGGCCATGAACTCTGAGGTTAGACAGATCTAACCCCATTTCCACACAGTTCTCCTATTAACAAATGACATCCAAAGATGAGGAAAAGATAACAAATGCTATTTAGTTCAGGCAACAAGCTGATGTTTAGAAACTAGACACCATCCATTTTCCCCACTGAGTTTGGGAATCTGAGATGAAGCTGCTATTTAAGATTGCAACCAAGTTGGGGGCTGGAGCCATGGCTCATCAGTTAAGAGCACTGGCTGCTCTTACAGAGAACCCAAGTTTGGTTCCTAGTACCTACATGGCAGCTAACAACTGTCCATAACTCCAGTTCCAGGGACTTCAACACCGTCTTCTGACCTCCATGGGCACTTCATGACACGGGTGCACTTACATGCATGCAGGCAAAACACATAAAATAAAAATAAATAAAAATTCTTTAAAAGGG